CTGGTGAATGTTTCCTGAGAACTTGTAAAGAACATGGTTTTCATTTTGCTACTTTGTACAGTATTCTACATATACCAAATAAACATGTCACCTAGGTTAATAGAATTGTTCTAAGTCTTTAATGACCTCAACGATTTTCTAACCACTTGTTGGATCAATTATTGAGAAAGGATTACTGAAATCTCCAACTAATGTGTGTTTGTGTTTCTCCTTTCAGTTCTATTATTTTTTGCTTTATGTATTTTGATGCTATTTAATTAGATGCACATATAAGATTATGTCCTTGATTAATTAACTCTTTTATCATTACGAAGTTCTGTTTATATCTGGTAAAGTAACTTACTCTGGTATCTACATTATACCAAAATTAATGTAATAATTTTGGCACCCTTGGGATTATTCTTTGCAAAATATGTCTTCTATTCTTCTAATAGTAGCATGTGTCTATATCTTCAAAGTGGGTGTATATATGTTGACAACATACTTGTCCTTGAATATTTTATGCAATTTGAAAATCTCTGCTGCTTAACTGGAGTATTTTGTTTGTTTTTTTATTTCTTTTGTTGAAATAAAAGAATTTCATCTCATTATCTGGAGTATTAAAAGCATTTCTACTTAATGTTGTTATTAATACTAGAGTAAGATGTAAACCTACTATCTTGCTATTTGTTTCCTACTCCTCCCATTAGCTCCCCATTTTCTTGTTTCCTATCTTTTTATAGTGACTTCTAAAAATTATTTTCTGTCCATTATTTCCTTCTTAGTTATACCTCCTCAACTAGTTACACTAAGATTTATTTACACATGTAAAAATAAATATATATATACAAAAACAACCATATATATACATATACACACACACACACATATACATATATATGGTTTTTTTTGGTTTTTTCTTGAGATGGAGTTTCACTCTTATTGCCCAGGCTGGAGTGCAATGGAACAATTTGGGCTCACTGCAACCTCTGCCACCCAGGTTCAAGCTATTCTCCTGCCTCAGCCTCCCAAGTAGCTGGGATTACAGGCATGCATCACCATGCCTGGCTAATTTTGTATTTTTAGTATAGACGGGGTTTCTCCAAGTTGGTCAGGATGGTCTTGAACTCCCGACCTCAGGTGGGTGATCTCCTCACCTTGGCCTCCGAAAATGCTGGGATTACAGGCATGAGCCACGGTGCCCAGGGGTGGACTACAATGTGGATTTTTTGTTTGTTTTTTAAGATGGAGTCCGGCTCCTGTTGCCCAGCCTGGAGCGAAGTGGAACTATCTTAGCTCACTGAAACTTCTGCCTCCCGGGTTCGAACGGTCCTCCTGCCTAAGCCTCCTGAGTAGCTAGGATTACAGGTACCCACAGCCATGCCCGGCTAATAGGGCTTTTAGTAGAGACAGAGTTTCACCACATTGGCTAGGCTGGTCTCAAACTCCCGACCTCAGGTGATCCTCCCACCTCAGTCTCCTAAAGTGCTGGAATTACAGGTGTGAGTCACTATGCCCAGCTGGAAGATGTGTTTTATACTGACTCACATGTTGCCCTTTTTCTAGTATTCTTCCATTAGATCCAGTCAGGTTCCAAAATATTGTTTCAAATGATGGTTTACCCCAATTCGGGACTTCTATCACGTTTCTAAATAATGTAAACTTTGCAACAGTTTAATTCAATTTAATCTCCTTCTGCCTTTCTGCCATTCTTGTAATTTCTATATGTTATAAATCCCTCCAAATATTATTGTTTAAACAATCTGTATTTCTTTATATTTAACCACATAATTACTTTTCTCTGCTCCTTATTCCTTCATGGAGACATGTGCCTTCATCTGGGATCATTATTCTTCATGCTGAAGACATTCCTTTACTTTTCTTTTCTTTTTTTGAGACGGAGTTTCGCTCGTTACCCAAGCTGGAGTGCAATAGTGTGATCTCGGCTCACTGCAATCTCTGTCTCCTGGGTTCAAGCAATTCTCCTGCCTCAGCCTCCCGAGTAGCTGGGACTACAGGTGTGCACCACCATGCCCAGCTAATTTTTGTATTTTTAGTAGAGAAGGGGTTTCACCATGTTGACCAGGATGGTCTCGATGTCTTGACCTTGCAATCCACCCGTCTCGGCCGCCCAAAGTGCTGGGATTATAGGCGTGAGCCACCGCACCCGGCCTCCTTTACTTTTCTTAAACTGTGTGCTAGTGATAACTTCTCTACATTGGAAGATCTACAAACCTCTATATTTCACCTTCAATTTTGAAAGTAATATCTACTGGACAGAGAATTCTAGAGAGACAGTTTTTCTTTTACAATTTCAAAATGTTTTTGTATTTGTCTTTGGCTTTTATCATTTTTGTTGAAAAGTCAGCCATCAGCTTTGTTATTGTTCTTCTCTACCTTCACCCCCACCCTCTAGGTCTGCTTTTAAGGTGTTAGTTTATAAGAGATTAAGCATAACATACCCGAGTGTGGTTTTCTCTCTGTATAAATTTGGATCTGTTCTCTTTTTGTGTGTTTTTCATTAAAGGCTATTTTGCCCAGACTGGTCTTGAAGTCCTGGCCTCAGGCATTCCTACCACCCCGGCCTCCCGAAGCGTTGAGCCCAGGCTTGCTCTGTCTTTCTTGCTTTGAGAGTTGGTATCTTTTTATTTGTTCTGAAGTCTTTTTAGCCATTATATATTCAAGTATCAGTCCTCCTCCATTCATTCTCTTATGAGTCTCTAATAAGAAACATTAATTCTTCGGACTCTATCATTCTTTTTTCTTTTTCTTCTTTTAATGATAGAGATAAGGTCTGCTATGTTGTCCAGGCTAGTCTTAAACTTCTGGGATCATGTGATCCTCTTGCCTTCGCCTCCCACAGAGCTGCGATTACAGGCGTGAGCCACCACGTCCAGCCTGAACTGTATCTCACATCTTCTGCACTCTCCTCTCTTTATCCTGGCCCCTCCATACTTCAATTTCTTTTGCTCTTGGTACCTAGGTTTCCATATATATACTAATTTGTCTCTGAATTCACTAACCTATCTTTTGCTGTATGCAGCCTGTTATTAAACCCATCAAATAATTTCAAGCATACTTTTCAGTTCTAAAATATTCATGATTTTTTTTTTCTTTTTTTTTTTTTTGAGACAGAG